AGTTTACATTATTTATGTTTTTGAGGATATAGAGGGTTGTCCTTTTGTGCAGTCTGCTTTTGTCCCTCCGTGCGCTCACTACCTACCTTTTTATTTTTACATTATTATGAAACTGGTTCCCTTTGCTACCTTCACTCTTATTCTTCAGGCCCAAGCCATTTGTGGCACTTTTTGTTTACATTTTAAAATCAATATTTTTTGCTAGAAAATGTCTTAAAACCCCCAAAAGCCCTAGAATATAAATTGGTGGTTTTTGCAATTTATTTATGTCACACAGTATTCGTGCAGCAGTTTTTCTAATACAATTTTGGGGGGGGAAATACATTTTTTTTAATTTTATTGCAAAAAAAAAACCACTGTACATAATCCAATTTTTTGTAAAATATAAAAGATGATGTTACGCTGAGAAAATAGATACCAAACATGCCATGCTTTAGAATTGCACATGGTAACAAATGACGTAAATTTCCTATTCATAGGCAACATTTTAAAAGCCTTTACAGGTTACTACTTTAGATTTACAGAGGAGTTCTAGTGCTAGAATTACTGCCCATCATGGCGATACCTCATCTGTGGGACGATCACTGTTTGTGTGCATGCAGGACCGACGTGTGTGTTTACCTTTGTACATGAGCACGGAGGAGGGGGGCAGGGATACTTTAATTTTTCTTTTTCAATTATTACCTTTTTAACACTTTCAAAATGTTTTTCTTTTGATCACTTTTATTGCTGTCACAAGGAATGTAAACATCTCCTGTGACAGCAATTGATGTGACATATTTTTTATAGAGGGATCTGTGGTCTATAACAGGGGTCTCCAAACATTTCAAACAAAGGGCCAGTATACGGTGCTTCAGACTTTAGGAGGGCCAGATTAGGGTCAGTGATGATAGAAAATGTCCTGACCCCAGTATCAGTGAGAATAAACATGGCCTCAGGGTTGGTGGTAGGTAAGAGGAGTAGTGCCCCATCATTAGTATTAGTGGGAAGAATTGTACACCATCATTGGTTCTAGTGGGAAGAATAGTACACCTTCATTGGTTTCAATGGAAGAAATGCTGCCCCATTGTTGGTCCCAGTAGGAGGAATAGTGCCCTAAGGGCTGGATAAAGGGTAGCAAAGGGCCATATCCGGCCCTCGGGCCGCAGTTTGGAGACCCCTGGTCTATAAAACCACAAATCCCTCCTCTGCACCAAGAGTGGTGTTTTTGAATGCTTTCAGATTTTTAAAAATTGTGCCGAGAGTTTCCACATAAACCACAAGTGATGTCAGGTCATTGATTCCGGTGTACAATAAAGCAATAAACGAGAGCCGATCAAAGCTGATCCCAGCTTTGTTCGGCTGTCCAGCCAGCCGGGATAAAGGCTGGCTGGCCGCTCAGGACTCCCGATGGGATAGGAGATCCCGAGAGAGCGATGGGAGAGATCTCCTCTCGCTGCTTGTACAAGCAATTGAGCAGCTAGTTAGTCCTTCCGATTGCTTGTACAAGAGAACTGACTGCCAGCTCTAAAAAAAATGGTACTGGGGTGATGTCTGCAGGCATCACTCTTGTATAGCCACCAACATTACAGCGACGTACAGGTACGTCACTGGTCCAGAAGCAGCTATGGAAAAGTTTTTATCAGATTTTATAGTGTTTCTGTGACCATTTAGCCAAATATTGTTTGTGAGGTCAAATACTTGTGCTAGGTAAGAAAATCTGCCTTGCTACATGGATTTCAGTTTATCACAATGGTGTTCAGTAGGGTTGACATCAGGGATCTGTGCAGGCCATGAAATTTTTTCTACACCAAACTCATCAAACCCTGTCTTTATGAACCTGACTGTGTGTATAGGAGCACAGTCATGCCGAAACAGAACAGCACCTTCCCCATACTGTTTCCACAAGGTTAGCAGTACACGGTTGTCCAAAGTGCCTTTGTATGCTGTAGCGTTAACTGTACCATTCACTGGAAACTCCCTGAATTCAATGATTTAGAGGGGTTTCCACATACTTTTGGCTATAGAGCAGGGGTCTCCAAACATTTCAAACAAAGGGCAAGTTTACTCTCCTTCAGGCTTTAGGGGGATGGATTGAGAGTAGAAAATCTTCAGGCATCAATGGGAGTAGACAATGCCCCATCCCTGGTTTTAACAGGAGGAATAGTGGGCCATAGTTAGTATCAATAGGAGTAATAGTGCCCTATCGATGGTGTCAGTGGGAGGAATAGTGCCCCATCATTGATCTTAGCAGAAAGAATAGTGCCCCATCAATATTGTAAGTGGGAGGAATAGTGCCCGATTAATGGTGTCAATGGGAGGAATGGTGCCTCATCATTGATGTCACTTGGATGAATAGTGTCCCAAGGGCTGCATAGGGGCAAGTGAAGGGCCATATATGGCCCCCCGGGTCACAGTTTGGAGACCACTTCTATAGAGTGTAGGTATAATGGTAAGTTGTCTACCAGTGTTCAGGAGTGACAGCTGCCCCAGGCGCAGTAAAGTAAGGGCAAAGAATAGTCACTGTGTGGTATACCCATTCTATGGCATGTATTAACAGTGTGAGAAGGGGGTGCAGTTTTAGATCCTTGCCCTAGGCGCTGGACAACCCTGTCCCATTACTGCAATAAGCTGATACCAAAGTAACATTTAGGAACTCTGTTTACATTTCAATCTAAACACTGGAGAAAGGAAAAATGCTCCCTTGCAGTGGGACCACCCCCTCCTTACAAGGCTTAAATGCTTAGGTCTCTGAGGCTCCAAAAAGAGGTTTTACTTATCCGATCCTCCACTTTTATAAGCTCCCTCTACTCTGTAAAACCAGCCTCCACAGCTTCTTCTCCCTTGTGTTCCACTGAAGACATGGAGTCCAAAGCAGAGCTCATAGCCATTAGCTGAGGGACAGTCCACTTCCAGAGCATGGGGGAGTAGAGGTGAGAGCCCGCTGCTGGGGAAGTGGGGGATCAGGTAAATATAACCACTGTTCATAGTGCCCAAGACCTAAATGAGCATTTAACCCTTGCACAGAAAGCACTTCAAGGAAACATTTGCCCAGGAATTAGCTTTAAAAATATGTTTAATGATCTTTTAAAGTATATGTGCACCCTCACCTTGTTACATAGTTAGTCTGGCTGAAAAAAGACAAAGGTTCATCCAGTTCAACAACAGAAAAAAAAAAGTTATAATCCTATACCCACAGTTGATCCAGAGGAAGGCAAAAAAACCCAGCAAACCACGACCCAATTTGCTCCTACTGGGAAAAAAATTCCTTCCTGATCCCCAAGAGGCAATGGGATATTCCCTGGATCAACTTTACCTATAAATGTTAGTATCCAGTTATATTCTATGTATCTAAGAAAGAATCCAGGCCTTTTTTGAAGCAATCCACTGAGCTGGCCAGAACCAACTCTTGAGGGAGTCTATTCCACATTTTCACAGCTCTCACTGTGAAGAAACCTTTCCTTGTTTGGAGATTACATTTCTTTTCCTCTAGATGTAAAGAGTGCCCCCTTGTCCTCTGTGATGATCTCAGAGTGAATAGCTATACACCGAGTTTATTATATGAACCACTGATGTATTTATACATGTTGACCATATCCCCCCTTAATCTCCTCTTCTCAAGAGAGAATAAACTCAGTTCCTCTAATCTTTCCTCATAGCTGATCTCCTCCATGCCTCATATCAGTTTGGTTGCCCTTCTCTGTATTTTCTCCAGTTCCCCAATGTTCTTTTTGTGAATTGGTGCCCAAAATTGAACTGCATATTGCAGATGAGGTCTTACTAATGATTTGTACAGGGGTAAAATGATATCTCTCTCTCTCTGGAGTCTATACCTCTTTTAATACGAGAGGATTTTGCTCGCTTTAGAAACCGCAGCTTGGCATTGCATGCCATTATTAAGCTTGTGATCTACCAGAACCCACAGATCTTTCTCCACCATTGATTCCCCCAGTTGTACCCCCCTAGTATGTATGATGCATGCATATTCTTAGCCCCCAAGTACATCTCCTTACATTTATCAACATTAAACCTCATTTGCCACATAGTTGTCCAATTAAACAGTGCATTGAGGGCGGCTTGTAAATTGAAGACATCCTGTAAGGACGTTATTCCACTGCACAGCTTGGTGTCATTTTAATCTCAGACCCTATAGTTAAACAACACATTATATTTGAAATAGAAATCAATGGTAAAAGGTTTGTATATATATAAAAAATCATTATAACTATCTTTTTTCTCTTTTTTACAAGTGATCACATACCCTCTATTCTCAGCTACATAGGGAGCTCAGAGAACTGGGGAAGAGAAACAGCAGTGCAATGATCTTCCAGTGAATGGCTGTAAGGGGGGGGGGGGCATGTCAGGACAAGTTTGATCATTGGAGGAGGGCAGGCTGAGTTCCCAGCACAGCTAAAAAACTGAACACGCTTTGCTCATACCTAGTGTAGTAAGATTTTAATAGGAAAGCAGAGGGACTGGCAGGAACACCAGGGATTTCACACAAAGGAAGCAACACAAAGAGAACAGGATACTTTTTCATACAAGAACATGGTACAGCAGGCACACATCAGGAATATGAAATGTTAGGTTTACATATTCTTTAACCACTTGCCCTCCAGAGGATTTACCCCCCTTCCTGACCAGGTCATTTGTTGCATTACGGCTCTGCGTTACTTTAACTGACAATTGTGCGGTCATGCAACGCTGCACCCAAATGAAATTTACATCCTTTTCCCACGAATTGAGCTTTCTTTTGGTGGTATTTGATCACATGTGCATTATTTATTTATGTGCTATAAAAAAAGGCAATTTTGAGGAAAAAAACAATATTTTTGACTTTTTACTATTAAACATGTCCAGTAAAAAAAATTTAAAAAATCAAATTTCGTCATAAATTTAGGCCAAAATGTATTCTGCTACATGTCTTTGCTAAAAAAAAATCCCAATATTTGTAAGTTATTTGGTTTACATGAAAGTTATAGCGTTTACAAATGGCGGTATATACACTGGAATTTTTTTTTTTTATTTTTACTAGTAATGGCAGCGATCAGCGACTTATAGCAGGACTGCGGCGGACATTCTGACACTGGGGGGAACTGACTTGGTGTCACTGACATCCCCAGTGACACCAATACAGTGATCAGCGCTAAATAAAAGCAGACACTGTACTAATGGCACTGGGCAAGAAGGGGTTAACATGAGGGGCGATGAAAGGGTTAACTGTGTGCTGTTTTACTAATGCTGGTCTGTGTGCTTCACTGTAAGCACACTGCTTTGCATGGCTGTGGTGCACAACCATCCAAAGCAGTGGGCACGAGCTGACAGGGAGGAGAACTGTTTTTTTACAAACAGTTCTCCTCCCTGTCGGAGATGCTCGGCAATCACCAGGCCCCGGCGAGTAATCACCTGGCCAGGACCCGGTGATTGACAACCATGGCCACGAATGGTGGCGCAGGTAGTGCGCATGCCCCCTACCCGGAAATGCAAAATCACATATATATAAGTGATTGTACACACCCTTGCCGCCATGTAGCAGATTTTCTGCTATAGGGCAGTCGGGAAGCGGTTAATGATTACAGAGATGCAATACCTTGTATCTGTTACATCTGCCTAATGCTCTTCTTTAATTGGTACTTTACTAAATCAGTTATAGCTTGTGGTTGGTATGGATATTAGATATCTCTATTTTGGCAGCGATGGTGAATGGTTCAATACTCTATGTAGAGTACTCGGAAAAAGGGTCATTGCTGATTATTTAAATAAATATATTTATAACTAAAACCTTCATTTTGGCTAAAAAAATAGCTTCTGTTTATTTTGCATCTATATAAAGTGCTTGAAGGTATGCGTGCACTCCTTTCCAACACAGCAATCACATTATCACTGCATTAAGCCTAGAAGTGAAAGCACTACATTCATTGATAGAACCAATGAGCTGACTAGCACCCAGGGCAAATATCGTAAAAGAGCTGTTTAGTATTTTTCTTTGCTAAGATGATTTCTGTAGTCCATTCTACTTCTAGGATGACAAGTGGTATTGTAAAACGTTTAGAAAATGGTGCTGCAAAGGAAATTGAAAGGCTTATTGTACAATATTCCATGGCACCCATTGTATGCTTGTTCTGACTTTTTCAGATTTCTTACAGAACCTGAGCAGTGCATAATATGAATGGTAAATGCTCCTTTTTTTACACCATAATGGTGTTCAGTATAACCAACTTGTTGCTTTTTTTCATGTAGACATCCTCTTATTGCATTTTAAATTCAGAGGAGATTGCACGACTGCTATGTTGGGGAATAAAATTGCAGATATTTCAGAACCATAGCTCAGTAGGAGATCATTTCATATAAGCTTTTTAAATGGTAAACAGCATAATATCATACTGTCATTCAAACATTACAAAATAAATAACTGAGTAAAATAGGAGGTTCTAAAATTCAATATTTGTACTGTGTAAAACCATTGCTTGTTACCCATATGGAAGAAAAATATATTTGAAATATATTTTAAAAATATTCTTCCTGAACATATTGCCATATATTTGAAATGCTACAAGTTTGGCCATATTCAATATATTTCAAAATATATTTCAATAAATATATATATGTATACTGAATGTTGAAATGCGTTTTTATTACAAAATATATGAAAAATATTTTTAAAAATACATTTCAAATATACTGTATGTCTTTAAAAATACAAATCTACATTTTTGGAATTCATTTACAAACATATGTAACAATATATGTTAAAATGACTTTTTCATATGTTAAAAAAAAAATCTGTAGAATATATTTTAAAAAGATGTATTTTTAAAAATATATTTTTTTTTTATTTTTATTCTTCAGAACTTTTTTAACATAAAAAAGTAATTTTAACATATATTTTTACATATATTTGTAAATGCATTCCAAAATTGTAGATTTGTGTTTTTAAAGACATACAGTATATTTGAAATGTATTTTTTAACATATTTTTCATATATTTTGTAATAAAAACGCATTTCAACATGCAGTATATATATATATTTATTGAAATATATTTTGAAACATATTGAATATGGCCAAAATTGTAGCATTTCAAATATATGTCAATATATTTGGGAAGAATATTTTTAAAATATATTATATATTTCAAATATATTTTTCTTCCATGTGGGAATTGTCAGTATCACAAGGCCTTTCCGTCAAGATAAACACTGTGTATAGTAAGGGCATCATACCAGAAGGCAAGGCAAAGGGGACTGGGGCTTGTCCTTTCTTAGAGAAGGAAGCATGCATTAACTGCTTGGTAAATAAAGCAATTATTACCTGCATTCGTATGAGAAATACACCAGAGAAAATAAAAAACTAAGCTAATAAGGTGGAAAAACATCTCAATAATTAAGACCTAGATGGATCTTTAATAGGACAGATGGACAGAAGCTCAGCCAAGTTCATTAGAGACAAATCACACCCTGACTGCTGATTTGCAATAAAAGAGAAAGAACACACTGATGAGGTTATTCCTCTGCTCTCACCTGTCAGCATTCCTTCTGTCAGCATATGTGCCTGCAGAAGGATGCTAGTACGAATCTGCGCAGCGTGCATTTGTTGAAAATGTCATGTCCATTTTCTGATGCATCAACGCATGTTAAGAACCTAATGATGAATATGACATTGCTTGACACCCACCTGGGGGATTGCTGTTGATTTGGGTCCCCTTATAGTCCTGCATAGCCAGGCAATCTGCATTCTCCACACAAGCTTGCATTCAAAGTCAGAAATCAGTGCTTGAGCTTTTGTTTTGTTGTTTATTGAAGGGATTTAGAACTGGGATAAGGTAAGGGGGGTATAGGATGCCGAAGGGAACCAACAACTGAGGACAAACTTCCTAGAACTATTCACAAGCGTCTCTTCTGCAACAGTCTTTGTTGGAGAGTTATCCAGCATCTCCTTGACATACACCACCCCAGACCCTGGATGAAATTCTCCTCTTCACCCAGCAATCTGGAGGTTTTCCTGAGTAGGGAATCCGGTTCCTGTCCCTTTAAATGAGCGAACAGTCACTAGTAGGGGGCTAATCTGGTTTCCCACCAGAGTGTTCTTTCCTCTATCTGCCCAGGGGGTGCAGGTGTACTCACTCAGATCCTCTCCTGTACCGCTTGTGGGTTGGCTGCTACTACCAGGCCTATCAGCTAGGCTGCTCCTTCCCTGCCATACAGGTGGTCCTCTCTCAGGGGGCCAGTGAGTTCCAAGTTTTCCTCCTTTCCAGCTCCATGCTCGCAGGCAGGCCCCATCTCACAAGGCCTCCTGGCAGCCTCATTCCTCACAGCCTCACATCTTCCTTTTGACTCACCACACTCCAAACTCCTGCTACTGAGCAGCCTCCAACACTTTTAAGTGAGTCTCAGCCCCTTGCCAAGCCTTCTGTTTGGGATTGGCTGAGGTCCCACAAGAGTGCAGCCAGCCACTTGTGCTTTTGATGAATTATGATTTATCAATACTTCATTTAGCCGTGTCTCCAAAATAATATGCTCTGCCAGGTAACGCCTGGACAATTAATTCAGTCAGCTAAATGTGCTTGCAAATATAACAATAATTTATAAAATATTTAAACTGAATTAATAATTTTGAGCAATTTAGAGCCAACCAAAATCCTTTCAAAAAAACAGATTAGATAAGTGGAAAATATGGACTACGGGTTATGAAATAAATGATTATTTATTTATAATAAGTCACATACAAACACATAATGTAATAGTTTGACTGTGATGCACATAGACACTCAGATAATTTGCATAAACTACACACAATTTTTCTGCAGCAATAGTTTACGTATATATATATAGGATGAATATAAATCAATAATTCATTTCTCCTCATAGACAAAATAACCATTAATATCTATCAGACAATAGTCTGAGTTTTATGGAATTTCAGCCATTATTCCCGTGCAGAAGGAATAAGCGTCAATATGCCAATATGGCCCAAGAACAAAATAAAAATAATTATATTACTAAAACTAAACTATATGGGTGGTTATTTTATCGTAGGGAGACAATAAAATTACCACAAAATGACAAAAACTTATTAATTTGGGCAATCAGAATTACCAAAATAGAGATTATAGTTACCCTTTAATTCTCATGTAAAACAAAAGATGGCTGCCGACTGATGGGTGGAGTTGAGCTCTCACAGAATGGCATTTTGACAGGCTGGAGTTGTGTGCCATATGGATAGTCAGATGGAAGGTTGTTTGTGTCCTGATGTAATGATGGTGATATGAAGAGGTCCTCTGATGATATGAGTGTGATGATCCCAATATGATGATATGAGTGTGCTCCTAATGTGATTCTAATGTCCTCCCCATCTATCTGACTTTCCCTTTTATCTATTGGCACACAGTACATTCATAAAAAATTGAATATACCTGCCTCAGAGGTAGCAGGTGATAACTACTCTTCATTGGTGACTTTGTCTCAGACTCCACCCATTGTTTGTTTTAGTATTATTGCCATTTTGCCACTGAGTGTCACTCTAAGATAAGTCCTAACTATTTTTAGCAACTAATTTGTTATAGGGAAAGATTAATATTTCACAAACTGGATTTTGTGCCAACGTTACAAATGTCTTGGAGGGTAAGTCATGTAAAATCTTAACTAAAAAGTTTTGTAGTTTTATAATATACAGTATAAAGCATGGAGAGTAGAGAGTTTGGAATCTGATTGTTTGATTGCTCCTGTGGACAGGTGTCTTTTATACAGGTTACAAAATGAGATTAGCAGCACTCCCTTTAAGAGACTGCTTCTAATCTCAGCTTGTTACCTGTATGAAAAACACCTGGTAGCCAGAAATCCTGCTGAATGATAGGGGATCAAATACTTATTTCCCTCATGAACATGCAAATCAGTGCATAATTTGTTAGACATGCATTTCTTTTGAATTTGTTGTTGCTATTCTGTCTCTCAGTGTTACAATACACCTACCATTCGATTTTTAGACTGATCATTTCTTTGTGAGTGGGCACACATTCAAAATCAGCAGGGGATCAAATACTTATTTCCTTCACTGTATATGTATAGATATACTTATTAAAACTATTTGTATGCACAATTAGGACAGAAAGACTCACTATATACAGTGAAGAACAGAAGTGTTTGAACACCCTGCGATTTTGCAAGTTCTCCCACTTAGAAATCATGGAGGGGTCTGAAATTCACATTGTAGGTGCAAATATTTCCCACTCTGAGAGACAGAATTAAAAAAAGTATTCAGGAAATCACATTGTATGATTTTTAAAGAATTTATTTGTCTTGCACTGCTGAACATAAGTATTTGAACACCTGAGAAAATCAGTGTTAATATTTGGTACAGAAGCCTTTGTTTTCAATTACAGAGGTCAAACGTTTCCTGTAGCTCTTGACCAGGTTTGCACACACTGCAACAGGGATTTTGGCCCACTCCTCCACACAGATCTCCTCTAGATCTATCAGGTTTTAGGGCTGTCGCT